TCGCAGATTCTCTGGCAAACAAAGGATCCGACTCTCCTCCCATTGGACCGCCTCCTTTTGCCCCTTACACTCACTCCTCTCTCTCTGATATTATAGACAGTTACTTTTCTCGACTTCACTATAAACGTTTATTACTCTTCAGATCCTCCACTGATTTTCACCAATCCAACATTATTAGTTTCTTTGACAGACACCTTGACGTTAAACGACATAATAGAGACAATACCAGAATTCTTACACATCTATTCACAGGATGCAGTTATCTCAGATATTTCCAAAACAAGATTGGCAACGAACCCAACAGCATATGCAAAAAGTGTGATGAAGACAAGGAAACTACAGCACACTACCTCACAAGCTGTCCAGCATTCTCCATACACAGGAAATACTACCTTGGGAGGACACCTTCCATCAAACCTTCTCTATCAGTAACATAGTGGGGTTCGCTAGAGCTACCAAGTATCTAGATTTCTATGACCCCCCCTAGTCTCTTTCTCTTAGCCCTAGCTGACGTAATTGTCCCTCTACCACAATCACCCTCCCCTCCCCAGATCGTGTTCAGACTTGCAGAAGGTCCTGCTACCCAGCCAGTTCTAAGGGCTCAATAGTCCACTGGACGGCTCTCGTAGCTTGACTTAATGCCTGTCTCTCTCTCTCCCCCCTCACCCCTCTTTTTCATCATTGCTGATTGTGGAAGGGACAACCACGTTACCTACTCAGTTTCCTCTTATTGCTCATGGACATGATTCAGGGACTTCCCCAGCCCTCTATATCTTTAACATGATACCTCCCAGGACCTTAGTATTCCATACCAGACATTTCTTAACTCCTCGTTACAGCAAGACTAATACAACACGGAGAAGAAAAGAAATAGAGACAAGAATACGACAGCCATGGACTCCTACAAAAGACTAACAGAAGGAACATCCCGGTTTGATCCTTCTGAACTATGCATCTTATATCGGTATAGTATTGGTATCTATTTATTACCTATTGTTATTTTTTATCCTTGCTAGTTAATCAGGTTTTTGGGTACCGGGCCATCCTGGTTACCCTGCTATGGGCCGTTCCCCTGGCTTATGCAGGTCTAGTTTACCCATATATATATTAACCAATTAGGCCACGATTTCATGTAGTGTATCGTAATATTTACATATAGATCTTCGCGCGTTCCTGCAACTTAAAGGTAGTAGCAGACTACCAGAAGTACTACTACCGGTAGTATTAGATTCTTACATATTCCTGGGAATTTCAAGAATAACCAAGAATATTTTCTGGCGCGTTTTACTGCGCGTTTTTTGTCCCTGGAATCGACAAGAATTTAGCTATATCTCATATATGTAATGCGCTCGATTCAAACGTCTTAAGAAATAAGAACCCCTGAGAGCGACTGATTTTAATTGAATTTAAATATTAACTAATTAACAAAAATCAGTCGGTGGCTGTGGAAATATTACGACACCTCGTTAACCCAATCAATGTCTGGAAGGCAGATCACCGTGAGACCCCGGATCTCATAGGACCAAGTGGTTAGCCACCGTGGTTTGTGTGGGATTAAGACCTACGAGTGCGTGAAGTGTTCAGTGAAGTTACACCAACTGTTACGCTGACTTTATTGATGGTGGAACTTTGAAAGTGTACACTCTTGTGCTGTTAAGTGTTCCTTTAAAAAATAAAGTATTTGGTTATACATTGTGACTGTGAACAGGTTGATTTTGCATTGTACCAATGTACCGTTACTGTAATGATGTTGTTGTAAGACTATGAGTTGTTGACTAGCTACAACCTCGCCGGAAACCCATTTATACTGAGGCTACTGAAGTTTGTATATTTCCTTTTGTTTTTGTCAGCAAATTTTGTGATCCCCTATTAATAAATAATTAGCCCGTATAGTCTGGGACTCTGGAGTGCTGAGTGGTTACACTGTACACGTGATTAATCAAACGTTACTGATTGGGTCACGTGATCAGTGATTTGATCTATGCGAGATCCATGATATTAGGGGGCCTAGTCTTCCGTTCATGATTGGTTGTCAAGTCAAGCAATTTTCAATCACATTTATATTTCTTAAATTTTAATGGTAAATTTTGCCGGATGTCAAGTCAAAAGTAATGTTAGGATTAGGAGGAAGTGTTACATTTCAAATTACGCGTATATTATGTCGTGTTCTTGCAACCGTCCGACCACACCAGAGTGGGTGTTTATTATTACCGTACGAAATCTTTTATTGAGCATCTATGATTATAAATGCAATCTAGGGACTCTGGGCGGAAGATGCATATTTGAAATTCCAACAGCATCTTGTACCCTTCATTGTGCTGATTCCCGGAAGCATTCTCTTTACGTTCTCATCATTCTGTAGAATGAGAAATCGTTCATTTAAAATTGGGTAATTATAGGCCTGTCAAGGATTGCAGCCCAATTAAGACCTGATCAATTGCAGCTACTTGTGCCATATAAGGGATAACTGAGGTCACGTGACAGTCGGTCCTATCACGTGACCGCTAATCCTATCACGTGACCTTGATTCGTAAATCCTCAGGCACGTGATCACATTCGTAACGTGTCGTATGCCGACTAGGATATTTTGTGACGTCACCAGAGCTCAAGCTACTCGATCAGGCCTTATATGGAATAATATAATTGTATCGCGTGTAATTGGATCCAATTATAGAAGCTGAGTGCTCAATTATGACAGCATCTGGTATCACTTTCTGAAACCTATCAGACAGCTGGCCCAGAGAATCGAAAATATAAGGATTTTTTATTTCAATGAAAATCGAAGCGAAAACCTTGTAACCCTATGTTTTCGAGGACGCTGAACAAGATTAAACTGGTTATAATTATCATACTCTCGTGTAAATTGCCTTAAAGCGTAATTGAAATTTTAATGATGCTATCAATTGTATTTGTAATACGATAAGCTGAGCGGCTTAACGGCTGGCATTCCTGGGCCGCGCTCATCCCAGCTTGTCATTCCGCCGCAGCTTTAATGTTTGTGAATATTACAGCTTGGGGTCCCCAGGTAACGGCTCAACGGCTGGCACCGCTATCTTTGCCTAAGTCGTGTTATTAATACAAAAAATCTCATAGTATCGGGTAAATCACTTCAAAATGCACTTGAATTTCATCAATTTGATTAAGTTGTTATAAGTTGAATAGCTGGCGCATTTACAGTGCTACGTTTTCAATTATTCTACCACCACTTGGAATTAAAATCTATATTATATACATATTGCATTGTTAAATACATATAATCAAGATCGCTAAGTTCACTGTGTGAACGAAGTATGGCTTTTCTTCTTTGAAAACTTTTTGGCATTATAACTATAAAAGTACTTCGGGTTTGCTTTTACTTTTGCTGCAGCCTGCTCTTCGCGATGCTGAAAAAATGCTCAGTTAAAATACTATCTAAAGATTTAATGTCTGATACAGTAATTTAATCAACAAGCCAGACAAGCCAGACACGGAGTCCAGGGTCAAAATTATTGATGTTCAACTAATTTTACAATAATAGATAGCTTTGAACACATTATGACTTTTAAATTTGATTGGCTTTCCAGAACAATCAAATTCAATTCGACGATTTGTTCCAATCATTACTTCTTATCAAAATGTTTTGTCAAAATGATTTCGATGGTCAACTAATTTCTGTATCTATTATTATCAGCATCTGTTATATCACGTTTATCTCACGGACAGGTTGTGCATGATCGTTCTTATTCCTTTTAGGAAATTTACCACCTTTTGTTAAAAATAACCTATGTAGTACCTAACCTTAACCCTAAAAAAGCCAACATTGTTCGTACAGCACGTATTGGCTTGCCCATGGTCACGTGATATCGATCCTGCATTCTGATTCGCTCTAGGGCTGCATGTCTATAACCCACACACACACCAGTAAGTCAGTGACTTCTTATATTATATTATTAGTCTGGTCTGATATTGTAACCCATTAGTGAAAGTTATTTCTTCTGACCTCTTATTCTGTTCTTTTTCTCTCGTCTTTTTAAACCAATTTGATGAGGATCAAAGAATCAACGAATTTTTGCATGCCTGTTTTAATTTCAGCTGGTATTGTCTCGAAGCCCATAGCCATTTCTATAAAAAATGCCACCATTGCATTTCTGATAAGTCTAGATTTTGTAATTGTATCCAAGTACAACAGTCCTCGACATCTCACTTCGTGCCCCAATATACCTTTAAAACAGGATCTACAGGATGAACCACATAAAATTTGACTTTTAAAAAAATATCATCACCCGCCACATTAGCAAAATTTAACAAAATTTTGAAAATTTTGCTGTCTACTTTTGTCCGCTAATGTCCTGCCCTTTTTGGATCCCCCCCCCCCCCCCCCCCCTTATAATAACATCTATGACATTCAAGTGCATTTTAAAGCAATTTGCCCTTGAGTATGATAATTATAACCAGTTTTATCGTGTTCAGCGTCCTCGAAAACATAAAGTCTCATGATTTTTGCTTCGATATTCATTAACAAAAAATCCTTCTATTTTCAAATCTCTGGCCCAGCTGCCTGCTGAGTTTCAGAAGGTGATACCTGATCAATATGCACTACAATGATTGCGCAGCTCCTATAATTGGATCCAATTACACGCGATCCAATATATTATTCCATATAAGGTCTGATCAAGTAGCTTGACGTCACAAAATATCCTAGTCGGCATACGACACGTTACGAATGTGATCGCGTGCCCGAGGGTTTACGAATCAAGGTAACGTGATAGGATTAGCGGTCACGACTCACGTGATAGGACCGAATGTCACGTGACCTCAGTTATCCCCTATATGGCACAAGTAGCTGTTATTGATCAGCTCTTAATTGGGCTGCAATCCTTGATAGGCCTATAATTACCCAATTTTAAATGAACGATATCTCATTCTACAGTATGATGAGGGCGTAAAGAGAATGCTTCCCGGAATCAGCATAATAAAGGGAACAAGATGCTGTTGGAATTTTAATTATTCATCTTCCACCCGTAGTCCCTAATGCAATCATGCAGCTCATTTTTAGTTTTTGAAGTGAAAACGGACACCTAACCATTCCCTTCTGCTTCGCCTCGGAAACCAAGTCAGCACACTTTTGAATGACTTGTAATCTGTATAAAGTTTCAGAGCAATTACAATAATATAATGTTATGTAAGTTATCAGTTCGATCTTTATAGCAGGATTTAAAACGTTAATCTTAGCAGGAAAGACCACAAGATGACGGTCAAAAAGCAAGTAGAACTTAACGACTACGGATATCCTGCTTCAATACCGTTGACTGATACACTAAACAAAGAAAGTCGGGACCAGTCTGGTGCCTGGGCACCCTGCCAAGGTTCAAAGATGCTCACTAGCGGGAAGGGTCCTCTCTCTGAAGAAGAAGCCATCATCCAAATGAAAAAGTTCTTCGATACCTACTACGCAGACGTGGAGAATTCCAAACCTACTTTAGCAAAAGATGAAAGAGTAGCTGAAGCATTAAGTACGATGGAAGCCACTGGAGATTACGAGCACACCTTTGATGAGCTCAGTTGGGCTGCTAAAACTGCTTGGAGAAACGCACCACGCTGTGTCGGGCGTAACATCTGGAAAACCTTGACAGTGGTTGACGAGAGAAACGCACTATCGTGCCCGGATATCTTCGATGCTATCTGCAAAAATCTGAGGGTGGCTTTTAACGGTGGTCAGATAAACCCATCTGCCATTGTATTCCGTCAACGATACATGAAAGACAAAGATACACCGGGAATAAGAGTTTGGAATGGCGTTCTGCTTGCTTTTGCAGGCTTTGTGAAGGAAAATGGAGATATTATAGGCGACCCTAAGAACGTCTATCTAGCTAACCTTGCCAAAAGTTTGGGCTGGAAGCCTAAAAGAGGTCCGTTTGAGTTGCTTCCCATCATGATATCAGATGCCAATCAAAATACGGAGGTATTCGAGCTACCGAATGACATCAAAGGGTACATGGTCGATATCACTCATCCAAAAGAGCCAGAAATTACTAAGCTGGGTCTACGATGGTATGCAATACCTTCAGTCAGCTCAATGATGCTGGAGGCGGGAGGTATCCAATATACCTGCTCACAAATCGCAGGTTTCTTCCAGGACACTGAGATTTCTGTGATGAATCTGCTGGCTGAGTCTAGATACCATCTAATGGAACCTATTGGGAGGGCATTAAAGTTGGATGTCTCCATGAACTCTACCTATTGGAAATGCACAGTGGCTACGGAATTGACAAGGGCAGTTTACCACAGCTTCAAGCTTGCTCGCGTCTCTATGATTGATCACTTGACACTAGCAGACAACTTCAACTCGTTTATGAAAGAAGAAGTGAGGACAAGAGGAGGGTGTCCCACAGATTGGCTCTGGGTGGTCCCACCCATGTCAGGTGGTCTAGTGCCCACCTTTCATCACGAATACTTGCGGTATGCCCTATCACCATCATATGAGTACCAAGCAGGTCCGGAGATGTTCTTCAGGAAACGTCGGAACAAATTTTCTTTTCGTGCGGTGGTTAGAACGTCCATGTACTTCCTTGAAATGATGAGCAAACGTCTCAAAGAGAGAAAACGAGTTGCAATGGTGTATGCCACAGAAGGGGGCACTGCTTTAACTTATGCTAGGGCCGCTGAGTCACTTTTTGTTAAGGCATTCAATGTGTCTATCGTTCCGGTCACTGCAATCACCAATAAGGAGGGTCTTCAAAAGTGCATCGATTGCTCTGATATCGTCATAATCATTGCCTCTCCGTTTGGAGCTGGGGGAGCCCCTTCAATCGCTGAGGAATTTCACAGAAACCTTCTCAACAAAGTTTATCGTTTTGATGGCATAAAATACGCTGTGTTTGGGCTGGGATCTTCTCAATACATAGAGACGTTCGCAAATTTTGGAAAACTTCTAGATAGAGAAATCGAAACAGAAGGAGGAACACGAATCACTGATGCTGGTTTTGGTGATGATCAAGCGAACCAAAAGCTAGCATTCGATGATTGGATTAAAGCACTGTATGTCAAATGCTGCAATGATTATCTGCCAATGGGTGGAAAGTCACAAGGTACTGCTGTCGAAGGAGTGACCGCTAAGAAAGTTTACAGATGGAGATACAGCAACAAGAGGAGCCTGAACCAGTGTTTCCAAGAGATGATAGATTCTCATGAAAAGATTTTCGAGTTCACATTAAAGGAAAAAATAAATCTGTCTCCTGAGGGGGCACCAGAAAAATACTACTTATGGTGGTTATGCCAGGATATGTAAATTACTTTTACAAAGACGGCAAATTGCCAGCTCACACCAGAGAAGCATTCTGCAAATTTGAGATTTTGACAATACACGGCATCATCGTAAAGAATGCGCTTACATTAATGCACCGCATGAAGCACTTTCCTAACACAGTACCTGTATCAATTAGAAACTTGTTTCCAGATAACATACCCACGCATGGTTCAAATCATGAGAACAGTAGCGAATGGCTAGATACGTACAATAACCGATGTTTCAAAGCATCCATCTTTTTTAAAGGACCTTTACTAGCTCTAACAGACACCAACAAGAACATCACGTCCCTACCTAGCTTATTTTCAATAAATATTTACAAATCGAACGCAAAACGCGTGCTTCTTGAGCAACAGTCAACACTAGCTAATTCAGAGGACAGCTGGCCAGCATTTCTGCTACACAACGTACCTGGTTTGAGGAAGTCCAATAGATGAGGGATGATTGAGTAATACAGCGACCAATAATCGCTAAATCATGACATCATATCATAACATAACATAACATAGGACGACAGCAAACACACAATAAACGAGCAGTAATAAACAACGTTCGCTTAATGGACTGACATATTTCAGCATATTTTTCACTGCCAAAGCGCTGATAACAGCAAGCCTTACCCCACTCCGCGCGGCTTTTTAATGCACAAAATCTTAAAGGACCAGTTAACTGAAAAATGTGTAGTCTCCAATTTGGCTAAGATTTAAATCAGCTGTGACAAACTGGTAAAGAATCGTATCGCCGAAAGAACCAACTCTCTAGCGTACGTGTAACGCGTGTTATTGCAATAATAAGCTGTGGCCTCGTGACGTCATAAAGTCCCTCAGTGCGCGCTTGCATAGCGTAATTTACATTACAAATGTTTATCATCGTCAATAAAACACGTGTAACTCACTCAAATTTTAGAATTATGACTATTACCCTAGTTCTCCAAAATCCTTATAGTTTTGGCTATCATCCTAACTAAAGGAATAGCTGATTGGATGTACAGTGCTCACGTCATGATTTTAAACAGTGATATAGGTTCTTGAACAGTGGCGGGTGAATGTACGGTTAGAAAGTTTCTGCTATTACAACTTATGTCATATGTGATAATTGTGGATTGTTTTCATTGCTTAATTACACAAGCAGGGAGACTGTACCGATTATTTTTCCCCAGTCCATGAAACTCTAACGAATTTAGAAAGGATACAGATAAGTAAGAGTTTGTTCAATTCCGAGAGCAATTATATTTATAGCATAGCGAAATTTCTAACTTTAATCTGCAAGTGTCTGCCAGTACAGGAGACAAGAAGTCTGGCTACTTTACGGCCGTTCCTCTGGGACCATTAGTAGAAGTAGCTTCTATCAGAACAGTGCCGTGGGAACAGAATTCCCGCCAAAATACCCGGTCTACCAAATAGTAAAATTACTGATTGGAGGTGTGTACGGTGTGAGGTGTGTTTTGAATTAGACTTCCGGCTTACCTAGTTGTTATCCTTATTGCATTATCATCGGTGCATAACATAAATAAACTACTGGTAAGTTTAAATAGTAAATACCAAGTGCAAACGTGTTCAGTCGATCGACCCACTGAACAACTATAGAATTTCCAAGACCCTATTATTCTCTGGCCATATATTACGGCACGATCGATTGTTAGATGGCTAAATGACCAACGTTAATCTATACAATTCTAAAACTATGAGCTAGCACTTTAATCTAAAAATACCTTTTTTATATTACTCCTGATTTTTACATTTCACGTAAAACATTGTCGCCAGAGGTTGATCATGGACACTAACAGCTTAATTTGAGATAAATGACTTATGAGTTTCTCTAAAGTTAACTCTAAAGTAGTGTAGTCCAGTCATTTATGGACATTTATGGAAATGAACCTGCAAATGTTCTAATACTCACGAAACTTTGCACAGACCTTCCCGAAGTTATGATTAAACGATTTTCGTTTGGAGACATTTTTTGACCGTGGAGAAAACCCAGGAGGGCCACGCCCATATTGACCCAATAACGTAACCGACCCCTTGCTTCTGAAGGTCGTAGAGACTTCAAAATAGGCTTGAACGAAGCCGCATATGCATGTTTATATAGGAGTTATTGAGCAACACATGGCCTAAAATCATTACTTTTCGATAAATTCGCCAAAAACCATTTTGGGCGTGGTGCTAAGCCCATTTTCGATATGATCGTGATGGAGTCTTCAGACAGGATGCAAAAGAACCGCAATTAGCATATTAATATATGACTTACGAACAAACATATGCCTTAAAGTGCTTACTTTTTCAGTTATTGGCGAAAAACTGATTTTCGGTTCCAGAAATCATGAAAAACTATGGGTATCTGGTTAATTGGGCTATGAAGGCCCTAAAGGTTTTTGAATGTGTGCAAATTGTGCAGAATGGCCATGTTTATATACAACTTATGAAGCAACATGTACCCTAAATTACTTACTTTTCGAGTTATTCGGGGGAAAAGATTGTATTATGTCCATTTTTTACCTGTAAAATACAGTCTCACGAGCTACTCTGCGCGCAAGAGGGACTTTATGACGTCATCGCCAAAATAATACAAACGCTATTTACACGCGTTAGAGAGCAGTTAGAGATTTAGGAATTTCGACTCGTTGCTTAGTTTGCTATTTGTCACAATCTGTCAAAATATGAGGATAACTTTTTTTTCAGTTAACTGGTCCTTTAAAGATAATTCTCGCGATAAAATTTTCATCGTCACGCTTGAAAATTTCTAGAAATTAGAATAGCCGTATATTATAACAAACTATAGCAAGCAGAATTAAGAAATAAAAAGTTCTGGGACTTAAGTGGTACAAATAAAATGAAAGGCATGCTAATCATGCTCACGTACTGTAATGTGTCGAGAGTTTTTTTTTTTTTTAAAGTTTTACCATTTGACAAAATAATTGATCTTTTTAGTGTGAGTGTGATTTCAACTTTGAGTTTGAAAATATTTTGAAACGACTTTCGATATTATTGATTATTATATTTAATAAACTGTCTCAAAGCCCTTAGAGGTGGCTCTATACGGGTCTTTACAACAACAACTTACTTGTCCTGTCATACGAACCAGAATCCAGCGATGACAAGGAACTATTTCTTCCTGGGCAGCACATAGGAATCTTCCCTAAGAACCTGTCGACTGAAAAAGAAAGGGTTGCACGAAGTCTTTCTGATGTTCCGTTCGGCAGTATTCCATTGATACTTGAAGAGAAGATAGCAATCCATGAGCCGTGGCGACAATGGAATCCAAATTATTCAGGACTGACCATTGACGAATTCCTTGGCACTGTAGCAGACCTCAAAAGAATTCCAGCTAACTTAGATGCCATTTTTGAGAAAAACATGGTGAATGGTGAGAACGGAAACAAAAACGACATAGCAGAAGGGGAGAACGGAAACAAAACAAGCAAACCAACGGATAACGCAGGCGAATTTGACAGTGCAAAGTTCATCGGGGAAATGCCTACAATCAAGAGACGGCTTTTTAGTATAGCCTCTTGTCAAAATGATGGTCACACCGTGAACATTTTGATTGCCATGCATGAATTCATGAAAGACGGAAAGACAGTAGGGGGTTTGACCTCTAATTTTGTGAGAAGCGCCTCTCTGGGTGAGAAGATTGAGGGATACTTCTCCAAGAGTGACGAGCAAATGAGGCTGCCCCAGGACTCAAGCCTTCCTTTGCTCCTTGTGTCGGCTGGATCTGGCTGGGCTCCCTTCCAGTCGTTTGTTAATGCCAGGGAACGAGATGCCCGTTCAGGTATTAAGACAGGGCCAATTTACATCTTCCACGGCTGCAGATACAAAGAACATGATTTCCTTGGCTCACTGCTGGAGGATGCTGCTACTGTGCTCAACATAGAGACCTTCAGAGCCTACTCCAGATCTGAGCCCGGTCAAGATGGGAAAACAGCGAGAAAAGCAGGCCCTAAGATCTTGTTAGAGAAGAAAGGTTATGTCCAAGATCTCATAGCAGAGCAAGGAGAGGTGGTAGCTAGAGTGTCTCGGGATGGTGGTCACATGTACTCGTGTGGAGGAAGTGGGGTGGTGGCTGGAGTCAGGGATCAACTGGAGACGACTCTGCTGGAGCAAGAGTGTGTTTCACTACAGGAGATGATCTCTAGCAAACGCTACCAGGAGGAGAAATTCGGTTGAACATTTTACGAACTTTTTATGAAGGTGCATGGACAGTCTTTTCAATAGTTTACCTACCTTTTTTACATTAATAACAGATTATGATAGAGATCAACTTCAGCTAGCATGGATTGACAGAATTGCTTTTTAGATATATTAGCAAGTGATACGAGAATGTAAAGTTCGGCGGAATCTTTTAAGAACTTCTAGGGTCTTCAGATCATGAGAGTGCATGGAAATTATTGAATTTTCAATTAGATTCTTTCAGTTTTAAGATAGTTTCTGATTTTTCTGGATGAGAATTGGATCTGTGATGACTATTTATAATGAATGTAAGTAAATTACGTTACAGTTCCAATTTGCAAATTTCCGTTCGTTTCGATCTGTACAGAAGATTGACCTAATAGTAATCGAGCTCGGAAAATGTATTATGAAGCCAAGTACATAAATCACTACACAGACATAAATTTAATACTGAATTCAGATCTTCACATATTTTGACAGTGAAAGTTAATTTGCCTAAATTCATGCTAGCATTTTGCAATAACGTGAGCATGGTATATAGTGAAACTGTCATGAACACTAGAAACGTAACACAATGAATTATTTTTTACTGGATTACTTTAAGTGTGGTAGAATTAATTTAATCAGTTTTAATACTTTCACCACTACTATACACAAATAACTATGTAAGGCAACTTGGTCGTTTACCACCTGACAGTCTATGCAACGTCTATGCAACGTCCGTGCAACAACAAAAGAACCGTCTATGCAACGTCTATGCAACGTCCCTGCACAATGAACACTCTATGCACACTCCCTGCACGGTCAGTCTATGCAACGTCTATGCAACGTCTATGCAACGTCTATGCAACGTCCCTGCACAGTACCATATGAACACCGGCTACTAGCCGGCTACTAACCGGCTAGTAGCCACTTTTGTAATTACAGCTCCTCAACTTCACATTAACAACCGGCTACTAACCGGCACTTGGAAAGTGGTCACTAGCCGGCTACTAACCGGCTACTAGCCGGCTAGTGACCACAAAGTGGCTACTAACCGGCTACTAAGCGGTCACTAGCCGGCTATTAGCCGAGCTCTAAAGCAGACCTACTAGTAGCCGGTTCCAAACCGGCTATGTAAATAAAATATAAATTTATTTAAAAACAAGGGGAGTACTCTCCCCCCTTGAAACAAATGCAGAAATGAACAGCACAAAAACTGCTGAGTTCGGGTTAACACTGACTTGTTGATACTTGATTTGGGTCATACCCTCATTTTAAAATTGAAATTACGATAGGTAGATGGATATTAAAAAATCATAGTTTGGTATCACTGGATATGATTGTTTTCCGGTTGTTTACTGATACGTTTACAGATACGTTAATACATATACGTTTCGCGTTAATCATACTGGATTATCAGTGATGAACTAACGTCTATTTTACACATTTGTTCATTAAATATCTCTCAAATTACAAATAGGAAACTGCTCAATTAGACTACAATGAGACAAGATACGATGTTGTTTACAGTGCAAAATCAGTTCAAACTTCACTAATATTTGTCACGTGTTCTTTAAATTGTGTCTTCCAACAACCAGTCAATCATACCACAAGACAGAAGGAGGATCAGCTGGCAATACTTAATGAGAAGAGTATCCTCGTCACGAGCAAATTGTGTGCAGCTATTTATATAATATATAAACATAAAACAATACATCAGTATGTGAGTAATTGAATTCAGCAATTCACATGATATAATGACAGTGAAAATAAATTTGCCTATATTGAACTTGGCGCGATTACAATGGCGTGATCGTGCCGTAACGTGAAACAGTCATGAACAGAAGTAACGAAACACAATGAATTATTTTTAACTGGATTACTTTAAGTGTGGTAGAGTTAATCTAATCAGTTTTAATACTTACACCACTACTATACACAAATAATTATATAAATAAAATATAAATTTATTTAAAAACAAGGGGAGAACTCTCCCCCCTTGAAACAAATGCAGAAATAAACAGCACAAAAAACACTGCTGAGTTCGGGTTAACACTGACTTGTTAACTCTTCAAGATTCTGGGTCATACCCTCGCTCATTATTAAATCCACCTTTCAAAGTATAAGGATCAGAATTGTTAGTCTAATCTGCTTTTTTTTATTTAATGCGTTTGTGTCAGTCATATTTCGTGCATTCTCCAACTTAAGGGGGGGTTCAGCCTGATTTTTTTGTGAAACTTGGTTTCGAGATAGCAGTTGACCAACAAACTACGACTGGTGACTGAACTTTTGAGGGGGTCCCGGACCCCAACCGCCAAACGGTGCCCGCGGGGCAGCCACGCCCATATTTGGTCCAAATTAGGCCCAATTTAACCAAATACCCTGAACATGCCCAAAATCCAGATTTTAGGTGCTTTACTTGTAGCTAGTGGTCCTCTGAACTCGTATATGAATTTTCATCAAGATTGGACAAAAAATGATTATCAGCTCAATATCTACCTAACTATGGATTCTGTATTCAAATAATTGCAAAAAATGAACAAAATCGCCCATATCTCAGTTCGCGATATTTGCAAAACTGACTTCGCTCAAAACAATAGAACTCAATAGGGTTTCAATATTTTTTCATGAAATTTTCAGAATCAACGTAGAATCGCCTCATGACCTTAAGTTTTGTATTGGAATTTTGAGTTAGGCCTTTAAAAAAATTTGGCGGCCAAATTCTGAAAAATGCCCGGCAAATTTCAGAATTTGGCCGCCAAATTTTTTAAAAGGCCTAACTCAAAATTCCAATACAAAACTTAAGGTCATGAGGCGATTCTACGTTGATTCTGAAAATTTCATGAAAAAATATTGAAACCCTATTGAGTTCTATTATTATTATATTGTTTTGAGCGAAGTCAGTTTTGCAAATATCGCGAACTGAGATATGGGCGATTTTGTTCATTTTTTGCAATTATTTGAATACAGAATCCATAGTTAGGTAGATATTGAGCTGATAATCATAGAGAATGTGTAGTATAGGCTTACCTTCCATATAAAGTTGGTTTCATTCAAAAATATTGATATTTGATCAATTTATGGGCCAAAATCGATCAAATTTGGTGCGTATGCCCAAATATGGTCATATGGTTTTTGGCTCATAACTCAGTCATTTTTTGTCCAATCTTGATGAAAATTCATATACGAGTTCAGGGGATCACTAGCTACAAGTAAAGCACCTAAAATCTGGACTTTGGGCATGTTCAGGGTATTTGGCTAAATTGGGCCTAATTTGGACCAAATATGGGCGTGGCTGCCCCGCGGGCACCGTTTGGCGGTTGGGGTCCGGGATCCCCTCAAAAGTTCGGTCACCGGTCCTAGTTTGTTGGTCAACTACTATCTCGAAACCAAGGTTCACAAAAAAATCAGGCTGAACCCCCCGCCTTAAATTGATTGTCATCTCCAAGCAGAGGCAACATGTAGATTGTAGGTGGGGTAATATTTTGTAAATAGTGCGATCCCGCACCGCACTGGCCAAAACCTTTTGTGTGCGGCAAATTTGGAGCTAAAACTTACTGCAATTAAATTCGCCACATTTACAGCCTTTAAGTTCTCTCAGGTACAGGTTGGATTATTCAACAACGTAGAATACAATGTTGCCGTACACAATTGTATTTGTTAACAACACAATTAATTTATAAGGTGCCTTAAACTGAGCTTCCTAAGAATACAAGATGTATTAACCTACAGAATTATCCTCATTGAAGGTTTTACAATTAAACGAGCAGGATGGCTGAGGCTAGTTAGTAGTTGAGCTGGTTATGAGCGAATTCAATATTATAACTTTACAATAAGATTCCTACACATTGTGTGTAATGTGTATATTGTATTAGCGACTAACGCGACTAAATAAAGGGACTCAATTTCAAATTTCAATATGTTGATTGTTGAGGGATCGCGATCCAGCTTGATAAGTTGTTCATTTGCCAAGATTCACTCTCTTTTGTAACAAAAGATATATTTCATATCGATAGTATGAAAATCTATGCATTATCAACGTAACTTGCTACCTGATAATAATAATAATGAACTTTCTGTACAATATGTTTTTCTTGATTTAAAAAAGTAATTCTAAAACGTGTGACCCTAGATATGATCGAATGTCGATCTTATCTCATTGTACACAGCGATACCAAATTGAAGTACACAAATCTGATAAAACGAATTACGGCCGATCGCGTGCAAAAACGTGCGGTGAAAGGTCAATAGTGCGATTCTGCACCAACCACACTTGTCATGTTGCATCTGTCTCAAAGTGGTCAGACAGCGTATTAAGGTATGATAAGATATACTTTACCGTACGGGCCAAAGCCCAAATATCATGTACAATCGCATCTGCAGTTCGATACTAGAAATTATGTCAATTACACCTCATTTCTAAATCGCTGATTCTCCTGATTTATTTCACTATGCATTAATGTAACGTAAATATATTATTATATTAGTCTAGAAATCTTCAATCTGGCAGTGAAGTCTATTAAAGTCAGACTGGTGAGGTGTTCACTTCATTAGATGACACGCATTGAGCAACTATTCAAACTCAAGTTAATATTTTAAACCGGAACATTTGAATAAAACTGATACAAACATTTTTGGGCTTACGCTATATTTAATTTAAATTTAAATTTAAAATTTATTTATTTGTGGCGTTTGTTCTAAATAAACAAATTATTTAAATTTATTTAAATTGTTGTTTATTTATTTATTTTTCGATAAAGGGAGCAATCTCCCCTCTTTGAATTACAATAAAAAATAGAACAATTTGGCAGCGATTCGAAAGGTTTTATCGTTTGTATGGAAGTTAGAGAGTTAGAGTGAATGAATGAACAAATCTTGACTATTGAATGGAATGTGGGATAAATTCAATTAACTTAACAACTATAAATCAATTCCATAAAATAATGACGTCATGAACAACACAACGGAGCTAAAAGACCTACCCTCCGACTGCGTACAAGCACCCGTCCAGTACTCCAACACCCACAAACCCTCTCCTGGTATTCATGGAGACTACAGCAGTCCAGATATCCTGCACCGGATCATATCTCTCGACAGAGTTGAAGTACTGAGCACCGTTCCGTCCGCCTGTGGGAACACATTGTTGGAGGATGGGGGTCAGGACTCTACGCCGTAGAGTCCCAGACCCGGGGAAAGGGGATGATTTCTGTGAAATTTCTATAATAATATGAAGGATTTCGGGGAGTAAGGATGTCGGGGAGTAAATTTTCAAACTTTTAGCTGCCCCAGGTTGCTAATGACGGTAATAAGCACGGGTACGGGACATGTGGCAAGAGCTCAACCAGTGCATGTCCCACGTGTCACACCAAACGTGCACAACCATCGGTCATTTGGCAACCATCCAGTAACGAAAAGGGGGAAATAATTACGATCATTATGCAATAAATGAGTGTGTACTGTTGCCATGTACTACGAGTACAAAGTTACATTTGACACATTGTACACGAAATAATAATAATGTATGCTGTTTGATATCATGAGACGCTATATAATAGTGATAATATATTATCAAGTGTCGGGGTGAAAGACACTGGAAATGTGATATGTTTATTTTAATTCTTAGATTTATTAATTCTTAGATTTCAACAGAATTATGCATAGTTGACATAGTGTTTTAACATAACAAAAGGGAAACACCCAACTGTGTTGTTGTCAATGAAAACGTAGTAATTATAAAATTTCCAAAATTAGATGGCTGACATAAACTTTAAATACATACGATAAAACACATAATAAATCTATAAAAAATTTCGAGTTGAATGCGTAAAGTGTACTGCCCAAATTTGCAAAAAGGAAGCAAGTGACATTTTTGAAAATATGGAGTTCTATACACCGTTGGAAAGGTCTCGCTGAGCTCTATTTCACTAACTTAGTCTTATTAACAGCAGATGTAACTAAAATTTCAAAGTGGGAAGTATCTACACGATTTTCACCATTCTTAGCAGTATTTGATCACTCACGATAATCAAAAAGGAAGTAACTGCAAAGATATTTCCTTTTTGCATATTTCCAGTACTTGCTTCCTTTTTGCGTGTTTTTGGCATTGTTACTTCCTAATTGCAGATTTTCAACTAAAGATACTTCCTTTTTTGCATAATCTCATCTCAAGATACTTCCTTATTGCAGATTTTAACCTTGAGATTACTAATTTGGCATAGTGCCATCCTGCAGATACTTCCTAATTACCAAACAGGGTGAACAGTAAATGTCAAAGGAGGAGGACTGAGGAGAACTGAGGAGGAGGGGGAGGAGGAGGAGGAGTAAAACTGAGGAGGACTGAGGAGAAGGAGGAGGAAGACTGAGGAGGAGGACTGAAGAGGGGGACTGAGGAAGAGGAGGGGAGGCGGAGGAGGATTGAGGAGGATGACTGATGACTGGTGAGGAATGATGAGGAGGGGAAGGAGGTGGATGAGGAGGATGAGGAGGACTAAGGAGGAGGAGGAGAAGGAGGAATGGTGAAGAGGATTGATGAGGAGAAGGACTGATGAGGAGGAGGAGGAGGACTGAGGAGTAGGAGTAGGAGGATGACTGAGGAGGGGAGGAGGAAGAGGACTGAAGAGGATCAGGATGACCCAGGAGGAGGACCGAGGAGGAGGAGGAGGCTGAGGACTGAGGAGAATGGCTGAGGAGGAGGAGGACTGGGGAGGAGGAGGACTGAGAAGGAGGACTGAGGAGGACTGAGGAGGAGGAGGACTAAGGAGAAGGATGAGGAGGAGGACTGAGAACTGAAGAGGAAGAGAAGGAGGATGAAAAGGAGGAGGACTGAGGATCAGGAGGAGGGGGAGGAGAAGGATGGGAGGAGGAGGAGGAGGAGGACTGACGAGGACTGAGGAGGATTTGGCATAGTGCCATCCTGCAGATACTTCCTAATTACCAAACAGGGTGAACAGTAAATGTCAAAGGAGGAGGACTGAGGAGAACTGAGGAGGAGGGGGAGGAGGAGGAGGAGTAAAACTGAGGAGGACTGAGGAGAAGGAGGAGGAAGACTGAGGAGGAGGACTGAAGAGGGGGACTGAGGAAGAGGAGGGGAGGCGGAGGAGGACTGAGGAGGATGACTGATGAGGAATGATGAGAAGGGGAAGGAGGTGGAGGAGAACTGAGGAGTAGCTCGGACTGAGGAGTAGGAGTAGGAGGATGACTGAAGAGGGGAGGAGGAAGAAGACTGAGGAGGATCAGGATGACCCAGGAGGAGGACCCAGGAGGAGGAGGAGGAGGACCCAGGAGGAGGACCCAGGAGGTTAACTTCAGAAAAGTTACCCTAGACGATTCTAAATGTATTCAAACAAAATTTAAAGCATGATGCAGTCAGCTGAACGTCAGAAACGGGTCTAGTTTACATGCTTTTATCTCAAAACGATGATTTTGCAGATACTTCCTTCTTGCAAAAAGGGGCAGTGTAGTCCAACATATTTTATAAGTATCGTATTTTTGTTTGAATAAATTTGTTTGAATAAATTTGTTTTAATAAATTTGTTTGAATAAATTTGTTTGAATAAATTTGTTTGAATAAATTTGTTTGAATAAATTTGTTTGAATAAATTTGTTTGAATAAATTTGTTTGAATAAATTTGTTTGAATAAATTTGTTTGAATAAATTTGTTTGAATAAATTTGTTTGAATAAATTTGTTTGAATAAATTTGTTTGAATAAATTTTTGTTTGAATAAATTATCTTATTCCAATAATATTATATTATATATGGAATAAGTGAACTTGTTACTAAAAATAGAACTCTCAACGTACCGACAGCGAACAAGTAGTTGTCCACGACTCCAACGCCCAGGTAGCTGCGCATGCACGTCATGGGCGCGCAGCGTGTCCAAACCTCTAACTCAGGGTTGTAGGACTCCACTGTATTAGTGCACGAGGAACACGTTAACTCGTACCTAGGGGGGTGATGTTGTTATTTTAAATTGATAATTGAGATCATTGGAAATAACACCCTTGCTCTTGTTTTTTATGTGTATTTTAATTCGTAGCTCCGTTCTGTTTGCTCAATCTCTCAATGCTAATGCATCAAGCACCTATTTTAGGTAAGAGCACTAAAGTTTTCAAGTATTTTGTAATATCGATCTATAGTTGATATTCAAAATCATTTTCAGTTGACATTCTGTGTTGAATCAAGAAGCTATGTGAACCTTTTAAACATTTTGATGTAATATCTATTATTAAAGTATTAATATGCGAAATGTTACGAATCAATACAACAGGTTTAAACTTGATGAAGTAGTATAATATCTGACTGATCTGCGTGAATAAACATTTCCCTGTGCTCATTTGGTATAAATACATTCAAAACATGTCTTCAGTGTTATTTGCGAAGCAATTAAACTAATAACCCTGAAAATAAAAGTAATCATCTAATGATTTGGATGGTATAAATTAACTAATTAACTAATTAACTAATTAACTAATTAACAACTTACTCTAACACGATTATTACATAGCCTTTTATTTACTATATTACACAAGCTAGAGAGTAGAGAGGCATTGTTAATGTATTATGTTGTTGAGTACACACACAAACAACACATTGTACCACTATAACAGTTAGTGTAACATGTATAATATGGCCAGGTGCACAACCACTATTATCCAAGGTGCACTAATGTGAGCGATAGCTTATGTTATAATATTGCACGGCGCACGCCTACACTATTCCACCTAGTTAAACTATACTACTAATATAGATGTATGTGCGTTTATAAAGAGTGAAATGCATGATTGCTGCTTATTGATCCATGACGGACTCTTTTATACTTTCATACGAACTCTTGGCAGGCAACCCACAAGGCCATGAGGCTATTACACACTATTACACACAATTACACACAATTACACCGCACTGTGAACGTGTTAAGATTAGAGATCAAAACTTCAAAATCAACACTATAAATCTCGCCGTAGCAAAATTCTGTTTCATCATTCTCAAAAACCAGACAATATTGAAGCAGTTGAAAAAGAGCTAATTTGTCCACTGACCCTCCAATAGCGTAGAGAAGGTCCCCAATAACAGCAACAGCTACCCCACCCCTTTGCATAGTCATGGGTGGTATGGGGGTCCAAACCCCCGTCTCTGGATCGTAACACTCCGCTGTTGCTAGGCAACTCGTCCCGTCCCGTCCACCTACTGCGTACAACTTACCTGTTAATTGTGTTAATTTAGTGAAGTTAGTGTTGACTAAAGGTTATTTATCCAGAGGTCTTTACATTCTACATACAAATTGTAATGTTAGGAAGGGTAATCAATTTAGCTCACTCTGTAAACTGCAGATAATATAATATACTGATATTATTATATGAGGTGAAGTATACAGTATACACAATACACACTGACGCACAGTGTCATTGTAGTACATATTGTATATCCAAAACATTGAGATCATAATTATTAGAAATAGTAATATAATATGTATCAAGTGCAGCTCATCCGAGATTTTACAATTTAACAAAAGCTGTTCTTTCGGCGGACTTTCGATTACATTTTGCAAGATAGAACGATGGTCAAGTTTTAAAATTTTAATGGACGATGTTACGAAATACGACGCTTTACAGAACAGTCAACGGTCTGTCTGACGTCACATTACGTCAAAAAAATCTCTCTTTTTCTACTAAATTTTTATCAAATTATTACGATATAAATGACTATGAATACGAATATGATTATCTTTTTGACAATAACGATTGTAATTCAAAAATTATAATCTATAACTCTTGTAACTCATGACGTCACATTACCTCCAATAACTCCCACACCCGTAGTGCTCCTACACACGCTCATTGGTGCAACCAGTGTCCACTCGTTCTTCTCAGGGTCGTACCTCTCTACAGAGCTCAGACGTGATGTTACACTAAACCCTCCTGAAATGAACCACATGTTTATAATGTGTTTATAATGTGTTTATAATGTGTTTATAATGTGTTTATAATGTGTTTATAATGTGTTTATAAATGTTTATAAATGTTTATAAAGTTATAATGTGTTCAAGCACTATCTCTTAGTGGAATAAATGATTTAAATGGTAAATCCAATGGTACTGGTACTGGAACACGGTTGTTAAAATTGATCGTGCGTAGTGTAACCACGACTAAATTCTTGTTTGTGTGGGCGGTGCAAGATTTGGAATATTGGAGGTATCAATAACATAACAGTCGCTTTTGAATTGATTGAGACTTCCACCTATTATAGTAAGAGATGGAAGTGACTATAACCACTCGTATTCAGAGTTAAGCAATTTACAGGTAAGATTGGCGGATTATTTCACTTACCCACTGCATAAAGGTAACCGTTGAGGAAAGCAACGCCGACTGAGCTACGTTTGACAGTAAGTTTAGCAAGGGGTCTCCAGGCGTTGTTCTTAGCTGAGTAACTCTCTACTGTATCCCTAACTGTGGGGTTTTTACCTCCTACCTGGGGGGAGACGTCACTTGAGACAAGATGGGGAATGAGCCCCTTCAAGATGGCTGGGGAATAGTGGGGATAGATATATTAGATATAATACAATAGATATATTTGATAACTTATCTTATCATGAGTACGATACAAATTGTAACCAGGAAGTTGATTATACATATTACACGGTGTGGTCTTGAATAAACGCAGTGTGAAAATTAATTAATTAATTACTTTTTAAATTGGGAATTGCGTGAATATCAAGTGTAACATCCCCGTCTTTTAGTTTAAGTTTTGATACCAAATGTGGAAAATGCACCGATCAATAACAGATGCAAAGACAAGCCACAACAAACAAAGACAAACCACGACAAACAAAGACAAACCACGACAAACAAAGACAAACCACGACAAACAAAGACAAACCACGACAAGAGAGGAGGGGTGTCGAGGAAAGAACCTTCTGTTCTGTTTACTGTTATCAGGGTGATTGTAGTGGAATATCAGGGCGTTTATAATCATGTCCTTTACTGCTAAGTAGGATTTGAGGACTGGTTCGTTGACAACCTCCTTTGCTATGTAACTCTGGGGCAGCAGCGACCATCTTACACACTGAGGAAGTAAATTGGGAACATGAGTTATTGTAGGATTAATTTATATTGTAGGACTAATTTATTTTGTGGGATTACTTTATATTGTGGGATTACTTTATATTGTGGGATTACTTTATAAGTATAAAGCAACCAGTTTCAGGGGAGTGATTGAATTTGTTGTGAAAATTTTATTTTAAGAATGATTTCCTCTCTCTGGCAACCTTTTATTATTTTATAATTATTTTACTAATGATCAGGGATGTGAACACAGGATAGCTGTACTGTTAGCGAAAAACAAAAACCATTCATAAATTGTAGCGGATAATTAAAGTATTATTCGCATCGGGGGGGGGGGGGGGGGGGGGGGGGCCAATGGCATAAATGGAGAAAATGGAGAATTACTCATAGGTTTTTCCATTTTCTCCATAGAAATAGTCTCCATTTTATGCCATTTTATGCCATTTTATGCCATTTTATGCCATTGAAAACCTGAAAAATTTAGAATTTCGAGAAAAATTATTTTAAAAAAAGATATTTTCGGCCAATAATGAACAGAGTATCATGAAACATGGAGAAAAGTGGTTTTCAGAAAAACTTTGAAAAATTTTGACTTAGAACATGTTCGGTCCGAGTCATTTACGATACGTACTTCCCGTATCGAGAACTCCCGTATCGAGAGCTCCCGATTCCAAGCTCGTGTTGCAAAGGGGAGGCCTGCCTTCCGAGATCGCATTACCTCGAGTCCAAAATTGTGTATCGAGGGGAAGGTGTGGACTTCGAAAAAACCGAAAAAATATTTTCGGCAAATAATGAACAGGGTAGCATGAAACGTGGAGAAAAGCGGTTTTCAGAAAAAATTTGAAAAATGCTGACTTAGAAACAAGAAAATGTTCGGTCCGAGTAATTTTCGATACGTACCTCCCGTATCGAGAGCTCCCGATTCCGAGCTCGTGTTGCAAAGGGGAGGCCTGCCTTCCGAGATCGCATTACCTCGAGTCCAAAATTGTGTATCGAGGGGAAGGTGTGGACTTCGAAAAACCGATAAAATATTTTCGGCCAATAATGAACAGAGTATCATGAAACATGGAGAAAAGTGGTTTTCAGAAAAACTTTGAAAAATGTTGACTTAGAAAATGTTCGGTCCGAGTCATTTTCGATACGTACCTCCCGTATCGAGAGCTCCCGATTCCGAGCTCGTGTTGCAAAGGGGAGGCCTGCCTTCCGAGATCACATTACCTCGAGTCCAAAATTGTGTATCGAGGGGAAGGTGTGGACTTCGAAAAACCGAAAAAATATTTTCGGCAAATAATGAACAGAGTAGCATGAAACGTGGAGTAAAGCGGTTTTCAGAAAAAATTTGAAAAATGTTGACCGAAAAAATATTTTCGGCTTAAAATGAATAAGGTAGAACGAAACGTGGAGAAAAGTGTTCTTCAGAAAAACTTTGAAAAATTTTGACTTAGAAATTACCCCTCGGTACACAATTTTGGACTCGAGGCTTCCCCCTGGTAATGCGATCTCGGAAGGCAGGCCTCCCCTTTGCAACACGAGCTCGGAATCGGGAGCTCTCGATACGAGAGGTACGTATCGAGAATGACTCGGGCCGAAAATTTTCTAAGTCAAAATTTTTCAAAGTTTTTCTAAAAACCACTTTTCTCCACGTTTCATGCTACCCTCTTCATTATAAGCCGAAAATATTTTTTTGGTTTTTCGGTTTATCGAAGTCTGCACCTACCCCTCGATACACAAATTTGGACTCGAGGCTTCCCCTGGTAATGCGATCTCGGAAGGCAGGCCTCCCCTTTGCAACACGAGCTCGGAATCGGGAGCTCTCGACACGAGAGGTAGTGGTACGTATCGAGAATGACTCGGGCCGAAAATTTTCTAAGTCAAAATGTTTCAAAGTTTTTCTAAAAACCACTTTTCTCCACGTTTCATGCTACCCTCTTCATTATAAGCCGAAAATATTTTTTTGGTTTTTCGGTTTATCGAAGTCTGCACCTACCCCTCGATACACAAATTTGGACTCGAGGCTTCCCCCTGGTAATGCGATCTCGGAAGGCAGGCCTCCCCTTTGCAGTGCGAGCTTGTTTCGACTGTCGAGGATGTAGGTCTCACTTCTCAGTGCCTATTACTCTCCCCTATTACTCACTCCTGCTGTAGCCTGTAGAAATAACTTTACACTAGGCTTGAGTAATTATGAGTTTGCCTGAAGTGTGTCTCTACTAACCTAGTAGAAGCATCTAGTAGCCTACTATGAGCTTTCATAAGCTTGTTACGCCCCTAGTAAGCGTAAATAAACATGTTAGGATGTCCAATTTAGGTGTTAAATGGTGTTAAAGATGAAATTTCGAAGACAAAATTCATGGCATAAAATGGAGAAAATGGAGAATTACTCATGGGTTTTTCCATTTTCTCCATAGAAAAAGTCTCCATTTTATGCCATTTTATGGCAGTTTATGCCATTTTATGCCATTGGCCCCCCCCCCCCCCCTTCGCATCTAGACAAGTAATGCTGTGAAACACATATTTTGCATTCCAAGGGATTTAGCAAAGCACATATAATTAATTAAATAATTAACAAAAATCACTGATACATTGAACAAAACTGAACACAAAGATCTCTTATCATGTAGAATTCTTTAAAATTAAAAGGTTTAACAGTCTTATATTCAATTAATTGCCCAAAACACTCTAAGAAGCAGCAATTCTAGAAGAAAATTAATGAGGAGGCTTTTTAGCTCATGCTAATAAATAATGTGGTTTCTTGATTCTAAAATTGATTTTCAGTTCCGTCAAATTATTGCGATCATGAATATTTTAACTGATTTGAATAAAGGTAGTAGTAAAAGGGGTAAACATTATGTGACAGTAATTTTCTTGTTCTTTTCTAGAATAAATGAGATTTGTGTACCACGTCGGTCGACGAGTGCGATCTCTCTGTACGGGACAGTTTTCTTCATACCCATCCTGCTCTTGGTGAAGGCTCTGACATGATCCAGAATCCAGCCCCTAAAAGTTCTCATCCTCCACAAGTACACAAAAGGGTTGAGCGCAGCGTTGACGGGTGTCAGCACTCTGTAGCTGATGAGCATGAAGTACCAGATGAAAAAGGGACTCGAGGCACCAGAGAGTCCCTTCACCCAGACAAAGAAAATATTGTTCAAAAGTTCTGTGAGAAACATGGGAAGATTACAGACAAGGAAGACAGCAGTGAAGATTGTAATTGTGATGGAAATGCGCCTAAAGTCGTTGTTACCGTTGGCAGACCCCTTTGCCAGAGAGGTGGTGCTCATGACGAAACTAACAAATACAATAACGGAGAGAAGTATTAGATTGACCAGGTTGATCATGACAAGGGCCATGTACTGCCAATCGGGCGGATCTACAGAGTTAGTCGTTGTGGATGATGCAATCAGAGGAAAGTAGAAGAACTTGGTAACCCCAGAACCCATGAACACAATTTCCACAGCAAGTATGTACACAGCATATACCGCACACGCCACGAGAACGGCACGTTTCTTGATAGTGAAGAACGGAGCTAAAATTGTGATGGTCCTGGTGACGCTGATAACGAGGACCATGAACTGGGAGAAGCGTAGGGTGAAGTAGAAAGGAACATACCATAACCCACATATCGTGTAGTTCAGGAAGAATTCCAGGGGTTGCCGACCACTCATGAGGGAACATATCACGGGAAGGGTGAGCACGCACGTGCAGGCGTCCACAGCACTGATTACAGTGTATAAAATATCTGGGAAGGAGTCCTTTCTCCTGCCCCAGAAGTAGAGAAGAGAGATGATGTTTCCAGGAATTCCGATAAGAAGACACACGATCAGAAGAATCCCGATTGTTTTATCCGCTGTATCGTTGAACGTGTGACCTAACTTTTCCTCTAGGAGTGTCACGTTTAACACGTGGTAGCTTTTGTCTTCCATCTTGAAGGTGTATCAATAACTGTACTGTCCTCTAGGTCACGAGGGATCTTGTAACTGGATTCTTATAACCACCTACATAATTAGGGAGATCAGTGCAACAAGAGGTAAAAAGGTTGAATCCTTTAAAAAATGCGTTCACAATTTAATTTTCGAAATGCATCTGACAAGATATTAGTCTTTCGGACATTTGAACTAGAAATGGAAATAAGACGGAAAGGATAACAAATTAAACAGAATATTAATATCGATTATCGGTCTATAGCCGATAGATGTCTAGGAGAATATAAATTAGCGAGGTCAAAGCGACCAAAATGCATACTGAAAGGGGACAAAAACAACTAACAAAAACGATTCAGCAAGGATATTGTATATTCTGTCAGGGTTCAACACGCTAGAACTTAATAAAACCTGTCAGCACATTTTAACGGATAATACCAGATTATAATATGGCCAATTATATAATAAGCCTATCTTTCCACACGAAGGGTTTTAACGTTGAATAAATGAATTGAAATTGTGGTTAATTAAAAATAAGTTTGTCTCAGCCACAAGATAATTTCAACTATTGCCACAAATTCTCCGAGATTGGAGCATTTTGATTTTAATGTCAAAAGTATGGCTGTAGGTCTTTGAGAAAGTACTTAAAATAAAAACTCAACTATTAGCAACAAAAAAGTTTACATCACTGGCTTCGTGACCATTTTACTAGTTTTAAGGAAACCTAAAATTACGTTCTGAAACAATGGAAATGAAAAAAGTTAAGTATATTGGAGGTAAAACTGACAAAATTCTGACCGTAATTAGTTTTAACTCTTAAGAAGGAAACCTAAAATTACGGACCATGACAAAAAGTACTGACAAAATCTAGACCGACGGACCGCAGGAGTTTTTATAATCACACACTATTTCTTAAAAGGAGAAGCTTTTAGCACTGAACTTTCAAATTTCATTAATAAACGTTCATAATTTCATTATATCATATTCTTATTTGATTTAGGATGAAAGTCGGACTAGAGAATCACGTGTTCATTTCATAAACAGCTTGCAACTTAAAAGCGACTACAAAGTCAAAAGCAGGCAT